ATTTCTTTGATAGCACGTGGGAATACATACAAAAATACAAGAAAACTTAATAAAAAACAAACACAACGAAAAATGGATAACGAGTTGTACGGCGTGCTCCACACAGGCGACATACTGAAACTTACTATGGCCGGCATCATGAGATGGTTGTAAAAAGCATGTGGTGAGAATCACTTATAAATCAACCAAGAACACGCCACATACGGCATTGTTGCTGCATAATGTTTCTAAATTCTCACTACATCCAATTGTGCTCATGTATATTCAGATTTATTATTTTATTTGCCAATCTCTGATAGCCACGCCCTTACGTTCCATATTAGGGTAATGACGTTCTATATTAGGCCAATGGTCTCATAAATGGAGTGCAAAACGAATTTTGGTTTGATGCCGATCACAGTCGGACTTGCGCTCGATCCAAGGCATTCCCGGATGAAAATTTTGCTAAGCGGTTCGGTGCATGCTGTGCTTCAGCGCAGCACGCGAGGAGATTTTTGTTCGCGCGGTTGCCTAACTTGCCTTTCATTTGACCATGAAGGGTTTGATCGTAGTGCGAATACGTTGTAATGGAATTTGCCAGATCTCAAATAACAAAATGCTGTTATCCTTTAAAAAGAGGCTGATGGAAAATCGCCCTGTTGGTCATGTGCACGCCGTCCTTGGAAAGGTTCCTCCTCAGATATGCAACAAAAGCCATTTTCGTAGTTTTTGAAAGCCATCTATTTCGCAAAAATAACCAAAACACAATTTGCTCGAAATCTAATTTTAATCTGGAGGAAAGTCCTAATTGAGCATGATGTTTTTTCCTATTTGCACATATCTTATGATCGCTTTGTTGAGTCAAGCGTGGTCCGAACACAAGCACTTCTGGTCGGCAAAACATGGTCAGAAACTGTCACACCTCCGGTGGTAACTTTATATGGAATGTACTCGTAAACAAACTCTGGGGAAACACTTTATGAAAAAGGTATTCAAATCAAAGTTGCTCGTGGATGGGGAGAGATAAGAGATTCATAATTTTATACTTAAAAATACTTTATAGTCCTTTGCGGCACGATCGTAGCAAACCTTTCGATGTCTCAGTGTGCACTGTACGTGTATACATGTGTACATGTCCGAACCCCAACCGATCCGAAGTTTGGCAAAAAATGGCCAAGCCCTGTCTGAACCAAACCTTGACACATACTTTAAGCACTATTTGATGCGGAGTTTGACTTTTTATTACCTTTAAAGAATATGGTACACGTGACTGAAGTTCCAAATAAATTCAAATTGTGTCTATGTTGATATTTCCTTTAAGAGACGATAAATCAGGCGGTAAATTGAGGCAACCGTGTTGGGCATTTCCTGTCACTCCCATATAAATGTATTTGTTTTCTAGTCTAAAAATGCTTAAAGATGAACAATGATCTTGTGGCGATGCCTTTTTGTCGTGAAATACCCACTCAAAATGTATCTGAAGCGAGATAAATGTCTGTAGCCTAGAATGCAGTTGATTTTGCGTCTCTATCACAAGGTGTTAACCACTAATCCTCACGGCCAGCCCAGGAAGGCTGACCGACCAACCGGGGCCAGTGAAGTTCCCTTGAATAAGATCTTTTGTTCACAACTATGGCTGTGTAAGCCACAAACTCCATTGTTGCCAGGGTTGCTCTTGGAGCTAGACAGTCCAGGGCAGACGGTTCCTTTCAAACCGTTGAACTGTCCAACACCAAAAGACAACATGAAGGGGGATTAACACCAACCATTCAACTGTTTCTAAACCGTCTGTTTTTTGACCTCACGCTTCATGCAAGAGTGAAACTAAAGGGTCACTATTAAACGCACAAATTACCTTCCAAATTTATGACAAAATCCCATCAACAGAGCATCTAATAAATGTAACAAAATTCCTTACCACTGTTTTAGGATTCAGGGTCCAACAAAGCTTGCAACTGAATGATTAACTATATTGTATTGAATGAAAAGTATTTACGTTGGGAAAGAAATGTGCTTTTATGAGTGCGGTTTTCGAGATCCTCGCTTCGAAGCAGGAGTAGTGCCCTGTGTAGACCAATGAAGAATTATCCCAAAACAATAAGTAAACTACCTCACAATTGTTGGCATCTCCAATTCCCACGGAGTCTTAAAGTGGGCACATTAGACAGTTTTAGGACTGTTTTGTAGGTGAAATCCGAGGATATTGATGTTGAATGAAATCAATATTGGAAGGGAGGGCCAATGAAGTGCTCCAGAACTGGACTATCACCAACCATGTCCAAATGTATCAGACTTAACAATGTTTTGTTTATTGCAATAAGCATGCCCTTAGCCTGAGTGTTACTCTTAGGGTTGCTCTATACTAAATATACCCCCATAGAAAACAGTGCAAAATCAGACAAAAACAGAACTTCTGGTGACTTTCAGAAAGATGTTAGCCTTGCGTGTTTCACTAGAAATATAAGGTGATAACCCCCAAATTCAATTTTCTTTTCAATTTTATAGGGACTGGCTACGTGAAGTTAAGTTTAGACGGTTTACAGGTCTAGAGTTTTGCACCAGTCATGTTTGTTGGGAACAGGAACAAGACCAGTCATAATGAATGGATTTCAGACTTTATTTTCCTTAAAAATCCTCCAGGGGTATGAACAGATCTACCAAAAATGGAAAGAAAAGCAGGTGTAGAAAGCAAAGATGCGATCTGATTGAGAAAATAAAGAAGGAAAAAAAATGTGTATCAATCAGGCTCGATCCTGGCGTACCAGGGTTGCATAGCAATGAGCGTACTGATAGAGCTAACCTAATGCCTCTGAATTTAAAACTGTTACATACAATGTACATGTAGATTGGCAGTGATAATTGTGGAGTGCTCTAAATATAGAATTTAGAAGTAGAATGGTTATTGGAACCTTAACTTAACTGTTGTGAGGGGAGATGGATGTGGAGTTCTAAGTATCAAAATAATGTAAATGTTTTATTCAATTCTGAAAAGAATCAAACTAGGAAAAAGAAAAACATTAGGTAAACAGTTGAAGTCAACAGTGGATCTACATTGTAATTGTGTCTTTGTGTAGACATTGTTATAGTGCAAAGGTTAAACAGCAGTCAAAAATGGTACAGTTTCAAATAAAAAATGATACAGTTTCTAATAAAATGAAACAACATTTCAGACACAGAAATACAACTTAAAATTTTTCACCCCAGCAATCCATGGAAACAGAATTGTGTAGAACAGTTACACCAGTGCAGACAGTCTGATGCAGCAAAAAGAAACAGTAACGAATTGCTCCTTAAGCAAGAGTTTATATACAATGTGTTTCTGGACAAGAACTCTGAACATAAAAATAACTTTGAGTAATTAGGAACATGGCAAAATCAGTCCGTGAAAGTATGTTAAAATTAACCTTTAGCCAACACCAGATATTACACAATCAACACAAAATTGACGGAAATAAATTACCGAAAAAATAAATTTCTAGAGAAAATTCAGAGTTCTGATTTAGATATTCAAAACATGCCATAATAGGCAAAGATACTAGTACTTGAGCAAATACATCATTATCATTCAAATTAGACATCAGATAAAGTGGAGATAATTTTATCAGAAGCTCATTGAACTTTGACTACTTACAAAACATTATTTTACGCTGGCACAGAAAGTTTCAGGTGGAGCACACCCGAACAGCGTGTGTCTTGAAGAGTAAAAGTGGCAGACGGGAAGAAAAGAAAAATAAGAAAATATAAAAGGTTCAATTTGGCGAATGCCCTAATTAAAATGAAAAGTCAAATGCAGAGTTCTCAAATGAGAGGCTCTGTCAAGAATCTGTTTTAAACTAAGTTCCTCAGCAGAACAGTAACTATAGCCACTTTAAATTTTTTTTTGGCAATGGCTATCATTCCAGAAGTGTAGACAGGTGTCTGTCTACTTTTGTGTTCACACGCATGTGTAATTACCTACATTTTTTAGCTTGATCTCAAGTTTTTATTTGGCTGGGCAGTTTTGGCACAATGCAGGGGGCACAATGTTTAAAAGTAACTTCTCTCTTTATCTGGATTGCTGGAAAAAAATTCGCAATAATACTTGTGACTGGAGATGCAATGAGTCGTGAAGTTTGGTCGCAAATTCAGGCTTCAATATTCGTGACTGAAGAGCAAGTCGTGTATTGTGGTTGCAATTATTGACGGCAGTTTTGGCGACCAGAGAGCGAGTAATGAATTTTGGTTGTTAATATTGATGGCAATATTCACTACCATAGAGTGGGTCGTGAATATTGGCGTCAGTATTTGGAACCAAAGAGTTGGTTGTACATTATATACATGTATCATAATCGACAGTGTCAAAAGATACCGAGTAATTAAGGAGTAGAGAGGAACCACCTGTTTTGTATATTTATTTTTTTCTTTGTTTCTTTGTCATTTCCTTCAAGCATGTAAAAAGAAAATGAAATTTGGTTTCCTGATGATATAAAATTACATGTACATAAAATACATGTACAATACAACACTAACAATACAATCATACAACATGTAAATTTTTTAATATAAACAACTTTACAGTTATATGTGCTTAAAAATGATACGTTAAATCACACTTTCAATTATCTTAAAATGCCAAATTGGGGGAAAAGTATTGCTCATGTAGAACATCAGATATAGAACTTTTCCAATTCATTTCAATCATCTTTTAAATGTTGAGTTGAAGGCATGTATTGCACATGGTAGAAAGCTTTTCCTGAACCTGTTTTTACCTGATGTTGACATATGTACATGTACATGTATACTCTCCCAGACTCACTCTCTCAGACTCAAAAAAGCATTGAATTTGATTAGATGTTCTGCTTCTTATCTTCTGGAAATGGAGCATCTGTGTGTTATCCACCAGAACTTGAACACTTGTGACATCACACCCAATCATTTTGCTAGCTATTTTCCAATTTTCTCAATAACATGTAGTTATGATCAATTGAATGCCACTTATTATGAATAGATAATGTCTATTTTATGTATATATTTCTCAACAGTTATCTCTCAGGTCATCAGTGGAATCTACCATACCCTGTATGTACGGTACATTGCTACATGTAGACGGTGCTTACTGCAAGACGTTAATGGGATGCTGCACGTACATGTACTGCTGATACCTGCATGTGAACTGGTATATGCGTACATACACATTATGTGTGTTAAGTAAAGACATCCCTCCCCCAAACTGGTGAAGAATGGATTGTTGTGAAAACTGACCTGTGTATGTACATGTATATGTTTGAGTGGAACTGGAAAATCATGGAATCATTTTTGGCTTCGTTGAAGCCACTTAGAGATATCCTCTTCTTGCTTGCTGTTATGAGAGTTTGCTTTGGGGAGCAGTTAGATCCTCGGAGGATGGACATGATACGTCGTCATAGTGACCTGTTAGAGGAAGATGAAAATGAGCCGGACCCAAACTTCTTTTATCTGGATGTGTTCATGCCAGGTGTTCTTCCACAAAACGTAAGTATTTTACTTGCATATTCGCTACATTTACATGTACATATACATTCACCCTTTCCAGGTTTTTCATGGGTTGGGCTACAAGCTGTCAAAAAAATTTACCCCAATTTGTTTTTTCTCTAACCATGGAAAGAAATGGCATCATCAAATATAAGAAACTTTGAACCTCCCTTACCCCTTTAAATGAAACAAAACAAGCAAACTACAAACGATAGATGGCGTTGTTGCACAACATAGGGTTTGTACACACAATTGTCCAGCATAATTCGTGAGCAGTCCTCAATTTCTACCAGAACGAAAGAGAATTCAGACTAAATTTTCCCTTCTGTTTGATTGCAAATATACCCAAGAGTCAGATTATCAAATAATGTTTCATAATTTTTTCCTGTTTAGACACATCATGTGATGTGAAATTCAAGCAGCAGTTTTCCTGTACATGTGTTTCTAGCCCGTTAACTTTGTACACGCTTTCAAGCCATAATTTTGGCCACTTTACAATGTTTGATAGTTCCCAAAGTGATAACCAACAAAGACCCTGATAAAAATGCCATAAAAATTGTTCGGTTTAAGCACAAAATCACGTGACATGAACTTAAAGGAGCAGTGTTTCTGCAAACGAGTGACAGCCAACAAAGATTCTGATGCAAGATTTATTGCAAAGGGTTGACGTCATGATGTCATCACCTTATTTTTTACTGATTTTTCAATATTTCATTTTCCCCATATGTTTTGTACACGTTGTTTGACTTGGCATGAACTTCAAAGCCTTCTATCTCCTGAAGGACATGTCCTATCTCGTTGAAATTTTGCAGATAACTAGAAAGCAAAGTGTTACAGACAAATGTTGACCTGCTGTGCTGATTACTTCATCAGGCTATAAATAAAGTGACGCTAAATGTGCACTGTTTAGGGAATTACATGTATATCTCCTGAAGTACCGGTAGATGTCCGATCGGATTCAAATCTTGCAGATATCTTGAAAATGGCGTGCTTGAGAGGAATATTCACCATATGTGATGATGACGTCGTCAGGAGACAAGTCACATGACGTTAAATGTGCACTCAATGAATTTATTAATGATTTCTTGTTTAAATTGACTTTCTACACAGATATATAGCCAACATAGCAAATATTTTGGCAACTCAGCTGTATTCCAATATTATCATATCAAATCAATTTTGCAAACATTCTTCTTTTATAACACGGTTTGACCAAAACAGCAAACTCCGAAACAGCCTGTGTTTGTTCACAAACACTGCCTCTAGTTTTCGTAAATTTTTTTTGTTTAACTGTTTCGGCAGTAGGCCGAAACAACTGGTTTTCCTTTTTTTGCTGTTGCAAAAACAGCTATTGTTTTCCTTCTGGGTTTTCTTCCTTTTTTTGGCTTTTTCGCAATTTTGCAAAAAAGGCATTCTTTTTGTTCTGGTTTTTTTTTGCTTCTTCTTCCTTTATTTTCTTCTGCTCAAAAGGCCATTTGTTTTGTACACGTTTTTTCTACTGGTCACTTTAGTGCTTTTGCAACTGCGGATCATCATCAAACTTATACCAATGACAAACCCTTATGCATACAGTGTAGATGGTCCTAGAAACATGACGTCATGATGACATCATCAAGTGATTTGTTATCGATTTTTACAAATTGACTTCAGCCCATTGCCTTTGTAAATGATTTTGAGGCACCGTTTTCGTACCTTAGTAATCGTTGATCGCTGTCAAACTTGCAGCAAGTACTAACTATAAAACAAAGATGATTCTGAATTATTGACGTCACGATTACGTCATCAAGTGATTTATCATTAAATTTTGAATATTTAAATATTCTGTTAAATTTATAAAAATTCATATAAAATTGGCCCTGGCCTCCTGCAACATTCTTTTTGCAGCAAGTGCCAGGATAAAATGTGGTCTTCAATTCATCTTGTATGGGTCAAATCATGTGACCCTTCCTTCCGGTCGAAAACTTGAAGTGGCCTTATTGTTTAAAAGTGGTAATAGGTATCGAGTTGTTTTCAGAGGTGTTAGTCTGCTGGGGTATAGTATTTTTCAAATTATTTACTGATGACGTCACCTAATTATCGAGCGCCCTCTAGCGACAGGTTGAAAATTCCGTAAAATGAATTTTGAATGGATGTCTGTGGCGAAGTTTGTCCGAATCGTCTGAAAATTGATGTACGTGACCATCTTTACCCAGTCAAAACGTGTGTTTGGTGCTGATGACGTCATCAGACTGGATGTTTGAATAAAAACTTCTTTTATTCTTCAAAATTAGGTAAAAAATCAACCGTAAGCAATATAAGTGGGAATTGTGCACAAGATGACGGCTAAAACATTGAAGTCAGCTGCATGAAGTGCATAACTGGTGTACTTTTTCACACACGTGAAGCGCCGCCGACAAAAAGCCCCTAAAATATAAATTGCCAAGTAAAAAATTACAATAGCATGCTGTGCATATGCTACTGTGTGTGTGTGGATGCCTAATATCTGCCTGCAACATAGATGGCACACAGTGCGTAGGGCATCATACTCTGGACTTGGCAAAATGCCGACCACGTGCTGCCGAGAGTGGATCACATTGTATGGAACGCCAAACGCCAAAAGGAACAAATGTTTAAGATATCTAATCTGTGCCTTTTCTGTGATAAGTATAATTTTTTGTATTGTATATTGTATTGTACATGTCTTATTGGGTTGAAACCTTGCAGGCAGTTAGGAAGGGAAGGTTTAGAAACGGAAATTGACCTCACATAATGACAATACCATCAGCAGACGAGTCATGTGACATTAAATGGTGTCTCATTTAAAGCACTATATCTCCTGAAGTGTATATCCAATTTGGTTCAAATCTTGCAGCCATCTTGAAAAGGAAGTACTTTAGTGGAATTTTAACCTCTTCTGATCATGATATCATCAGGAGACAAGTCACGTTACATTAACACTGCACTCTTTCAGACCCCATGTCTCCTGAAGTACATGTCTGATCAGGTTCAAATCTTGCAGATATCTTGAAAAGGGATTGCTGTAGAGGTACATGTATATTGACCGTATGGGATAATGACGTCATCAGCAGCAGACAAATCACGTGACATTAAGAATGCACTTTTCAAAGCCCTATATCTCCTGAAGTACATGTCCAATCAGGTTCAAATCTTGCAGATATCTTGAAAGGGAGTGCTTTAGAGGTACATACAGTATATCCTTATGTGATGATGACGTCATTAGGAGACAAGTCACGTGACATTAAGGGTGCACTCTTTAAGGCCCTATATCTCCTGAGGTGTGATCACACATACTATACATGTAAGGTACATGTGCACATTTGATCACGTTCACGAATCATACACATGTACAGTTCGGTTTTCACACGTAGGCTTATGTATATCTGTCAAAAACCGTTCACATACACATCATCAGTGCCCATCGTTGACACGTAACACATGTAAATCAGCAAATGTGGTAACCATATGTATCCCTGCGTTTTGGTCATGTGAGCTACTGTGATTTGAAAATTAAAAAGCTAGATGTCTCGATGTTGGAGTGGAGATTCTGTTTGAGAAAAACTGGTCCCGGAGCTCCACCAGAGAGGTCATAATTGATTTGAACTATACCATTATTTTGAGGGGTGAAACCGAGATGATATAATTAACGTGAGGTAAATTTCCAAAGTTTCATAAATAAAGTTTAATTTCAGATCAGTCCAAATTCTCTTTCAGGTCTTTAGTTATGGTTCTTTATCTATTTTATTAGCTACTAATGATTTCAGGTGAACCGATGGCGTGTTGTCATTTTGCACACGACCCATTAATATAGACTCTTGCAACAGCTCCCATTAACGGTTGCAATAGTTGCAATTTTCTGAGAAAAAAATTTTCAAAATGACAGAATTTCTGGTGGTAAGAATTCACAGATTGTCTGACAGTATTATGTACTTACTTTACAGTAAGATATTTCAAGATAATTTGACAGTCCCGTTTTTTAGATCTTACAAATCCCATAGGCTTACACACCCCAGCGTAGGGCAGAAAGCTGTCTGACAATCATTAAATAAATTACAGGATATAAACGTGCTGCCATCAAACAATAACTAGCTTTGTTCCGAGTTTAAAGTTTTATGAGCATGAGATATACCCACAAGCACTCGGTCACGTGGAGGAACAAAGAAAAGGGACCAGCGGCAAAACCACCTTTTGAGAGCGACAGCTAGTACTGGAGCCAAGCTGCCGGATCGAGCCCAAAATCATAGAACAGAACGACACATGTACTGGTCGGTTTGGATGTTGGGCTTTGATGTGGCATGGTATTGATAGCAAACGGATTGTACTTAAAACTCAATAAGATAGCAATACAATGAAAAATGGAAATCAAGTTTTGGTACATGTACATTATATTCCGCATCTGCGCTCGGCAGATGTGCTAGTACACGTGGTGCAGGCATGTACAGTAAATTTTTGATGGCGCCGGATCATATGATGGTGTAAAACACACGTGGTGAGAATGCACTATAACCCACCAAGAACATGCTAGGTACGGCATTTCAGTTGTAGAGCATTACTAAATTCTTACTACATCTATTTGTGGTACTTACTTACAAGTACTTATTACTTGTGGGCATGCATATTCAGACCAACATTATGTATGCCAATCTCCAATATTCACGCCCTTACGTTCCACATTAGGTCAATGATGTCATAAATGAATGTGCAAAACAAATTTTGATTTGATGCTGATCGCAGTTGGACTCGTGTTCAATCGAAGGCAACTCCGGAGGAAAAAAAAGATTTTGCCAGGCGGAGTATAGCAGTGCTTCTGCGTGCGATGAGAGTTGGTGCACACAGGGGCCAAATAATCTTTCCTTTCATTTGGTCAAAATCATTTCACGTATATAATGTGATAGAATTTTTCCAGAGCTCTAAGTTGTTGGCAGATTTCAAATAAAATGCTGTTATCCATTCGGAAAAAGGACCGGTGGAAAATTCAAAATTTCAAATTTGCCGCCGTCCTGGAAAAAAATGCTGACTTGATACCAGGGTCCTTCGAATATATCAAATGCCACAGTTTGGTAGTTGTATACTCTGCACAGGTGTTTATGCTTTATTTGATGATTTGTGATAAAATTTACTGTGATGGGTTTCTTAATTCTATTGTTTTGGTTTTTGGTTAACTTATAACTTGCATTACATGCAGTTTATCTCTTTTCATCTTCCGTCAGTCTGAGCAATATGTATGTACCTCCGTGCTTGTTCCAAGGCAAGATTCTTACATTGGTAAGTACATGTACATGTAATCGCTGACTTCTGAACCTGATTATCTGCGAGACATGTTTTTATTTTTTTTTTACTGTAGTTTTGATATGCGTAAATATTATTATCTGTCACCAGTTACAAATCTGTTCAGAAATTACTGCGGGAATGATTACTTCCCTATAATTTTTAGGTTGCTAGGATGTATATAGCTAGCATGACTGTCAAAATGCTAAGGTTTAAGACTTTACTTGATCTTGAAAGATGGGCAGGGTCATCCGTGTTCCAGATATCAGTCATGACTCCCCTCATTTCATCAGAATTTTGAATTAATTCAGAGCTGTTCACTTCAGGAAAGTGTTATCCCCTGCATTCATTCTTGTAATGGCTCATATTTTGCGGAACCTGTTTTATCTTTGTGTTTGGTGTTCCCGTTAGTTTGTGCTTGTTTTGGTGTTTTTGTTTTATATTTGTAATAGTTTTATCGATCATGAAACAAATTACACAGAAGACCAGAAATAACGTCCCGCGGGATACAAAGACCGGAAGGTAAAAAAACTCCCCAAAGGGAACACATCAAAATAAGTACCGTAGCCCGGACATCAACCCCAACGATGGGAACTGCCTCGGTTGCAAGACGCAACCCCTCTGTAGCTTCATGAATTGCATTGAAGCATTTCACCAATAGGAACAGATACCTACATGTACATGTACATGGTCTTCTAAGCCTTAAGACCGAGACACATGATCTTAGCCAAAAGGCTGAGAAGCAATAGTTTTATCTAGTAAATATGTGTAACTGTTTTTCATCAGTACTTAATGATGATTGTGACTTTTAATTGATATTGTAAATTCACAAACAATTTGGCCTTCTGGCTATGAATTGTGGATAATGAACCAAATTACTATATCTACATGTATATGTACCTGTATCTACTACTTACATGCACATGTACAGTGTACATGTACATTGTACACTACTGCGAATAACATGTACTTGTATAGACAAATCTTGTTTCCCTTTTTGGCAGCACTGTGTGTTTCAGTCCTTGTGATTACAAATTGCAGGCTTGTAAAAAAAAACACTCCTGGACATTTCCAGGGTGTAATTTTGCTAGGCGTGTGATTCTGAAAAACGAAGCAAAACCTTGGGTCAGTCAAGACATAGTAAAATAGAAAGACAAAATTGGGTCAACATTACATACAAACAATCAACAAAACCAACAAAAAATGGTGCAACAGTTTCAGATCACACTCTGCACACAAGATGCAATTAACCACTTGCTGCCGGGTGCTTTTTTTTTACCATTATATGCACTGCCGGGCCGTTTTTCATATTTTCGTTTTTCAAAAATCTTCAAAAATTCGTATCTTTTTTTCTGAGCATCTAAACCCCATAAAAAGACTGCTGCGTGGCAAGTCTAGCCCTCACAAGCAACTTCCATTGACCCTTCGGTTTTGCAGCCACGCCGCCCGCTCCGTATAGAGCCCCCATAGTGTGGTGTTACATAAGGGCTCCTTTGTTCTGGGCCTTGGCCCAGCACGTTGCTATACTGCCGTGTTGCTATGCAGAGTGATTGACGGTCAAGACCTCAGCATGCAATATGTTGTGCTCACATGCACTGGGCTTTGTAAACTGTTCAATGAGTGCGGGCCATGACGGACAAATGAATCATGCTGTAAAAAAGGGGTCTAAAAGTGTGGGTTTTTTGCAGTGCTGCTGCATATAACTTTTGCCATTTTTTTAAGCTATTTGGGTTTTTTCTGTTATATATTTTCCCATTTACAAAACTTGTATCTCCCGCAAACCACTCACATATTTTATCTCCCAACTTGTTAATTTTCCCTCCCACAGTATAAGTTTTAGTTCAAAATGGATATTTTCCTTCCCAAACTTTATTTCCCCAACAATTTCAAGTAAAATCTTAGAAACCAATAAAATCAAGTACACATAGAAATACACACACAGACAAATATTTGGAGAGAACTTCTTTTCCTCTTATTTTCTTCTTGTCATTTCTCTTGTGTTTTCTTTTCATTTCTCATTGAAATAGTTGAACTCAAAAAAGTAGTAAAATAAATGTCCACTCTTTTCAATCAAATAAAAAGCAAAACTCATTAAAAAAGGCAAGAATGAGCAAACTCCTAACACTGGTGCAAAGACTAAAAAGGATGAAAATACAACGTCCTCAAAGTAATATTTTCCAGAAACTGTGTCTTTTGTCATTTTTTCAAAGTTTGAAAGTATGACCAATTAGTGAAACCATTACAAGGAAATTTGCCACTTTTTCAAGAGATGAAAATACAACATCCTCAACGCAGTACTTTCCAGAAACTTTGACTTTTTCGTCATTTTTTCAAGGGATGAAACTATGACAACTCTTAAAACCACCAGTAAATGACATATTGTTTTACACCAGATAAGTGGTGCATCAAGTCATGAAAAACAGAAAAAAATAATGTCTGTATAAGTAAATGTTCAAAGTGTCAATTAGTGGACAGTATGGTACTCCTTGAAGCAGGGGGTGATGCAGAGCGGCTGGTGGCACGTGTCGCACTCAAACTGTGTCTTCTTTCGCTGACCACGGGAAGCACAAAGGACACACTGCCGGTAGCGGAAGTCGCCATAGCTGCTCCTCTCAAAGTCCGAGGGGAAGTGTCGGCCGACGAAGTGGAGTTGGTGACTGGTGGAGTATCGTGCTGGGGGCAGTACTCGGGCAAGGGCTCGTCGAACAGCAGTTCATGGACAAGACTCAAGCGGTAGTCGAGGAAGGAGAGGTGGTGACCAACGGCCAGGTACATGACGTAGCTGTTCACTAGCGTCAAGTCGAGCAGGTAGAAGAAGAGCTTCTTGTACCGCTTGAGTGACTTACGAGTAGTTCGATGATTTGGCGCGAGTTGGTCGCTCCTCAATGCCCCCCAATAGGGCGTTGAATTCGACGACACAGGTCGGTTTTTGCTTTTCCTCCCCCGTCCTGTCTTGCTTGCCGGAGCCACAGATATCTGCCGTATGCATGGTGGAGAGCATACGGATGTTGCGCTTGTCTCGCCACACCATGGCCAGGAGAGAACCGCTGACACCCAGGTTGGCCGACCGGAATGCTGTTTTGCCCCGCTTTAGCTTAACGGACTGCAGGTCTTTCGGCATCCCGTTTCTTTCGCCATGACGGTGTCGACAACGTTGAACTTCTGGTTGTGAAGTCGTCGAACTGTCGGACTGCTGAAGGCCCGGTCGAGGGCAAGGTTGTAGCCCTTGCGGCTTAGGTCGTTCACCAGGTCCATCGCCACTTGTGTAGTTGCTAGGAGGTCTCCTTTACTTTGGCTGGTGTAGATTTTGAAGTTGTAGCAGTACCCCGTGGCACTCCTGGTGCTCTGGCATAACTTGTACATCTTAATGCTGAAGTGGGCCCTCTTTCTGGGGTTGTAGGTAGCGAAGCGGAGACGTCCGTAGAACTTCAACAGGGAGTCGTCGACAGAAATGCCCCGTCAAGGAACTTAGACAGTGGCAAACTTCGGAGCAAGATGGTCGACGACTGGGCGCACTTTGAAGAGGCGGTCAGTGCAGTCCTCCAGCATGGCAGTGTTATCGTTGAAGTGGAGGGACTGCAGGATGGCAAGGAAGCGATCTCGGGGCATGATGGACGGGAATAGGCTCATCTTCAGTAGTAGGTCGATGGACCAGAAGCTATGAAGGGTGGGGTGCTTCGCAATGCCCGTCATTATGCAAAGGCGCAGAAAGGCCTTCAGTTCGCTAGTGTTTAGATCAGTCCATGATCACATGTGCACCGATTGTTCCTGAGGCCCGGGAGTCCATTCATTTATGACTTGCCTGTAAGCCAAATGACAATAGATGTACCGGTACATGTACATGTACATTGGACCTGGGAGTCCTTTGTTTGTTTGATGTATGTTTTGGGGCCTACCAGCCCATATGATTGATGCCAGCTTGCCCAAAACAGATTCAGTATCTGGCAAAATAATAAATAATAGATGCTGTGGCAAGAGTCAGGAAAATAATTTGTTGTTGCTGTTTGCTGTTGTACTTGGGCACAGTATCGCTGAGTAAACCAGCGGCCCCAGACTCACAAGGCACAATGCATGAATATCACACAATACGTTAAGTGCTTACTGTCTTAAGGCCTACTTCAGATCAGCAGTTGATTTCCAAATTCCAGCAGTGCTTCTAGCAGGGCTCATACTTCTCAGCAACGAACTGAACTTCCAGCCGTCTGTGCACCTCTTTTATGCCTGCTTTGTGGACGTGGTACAGGTTGGCAGTACCACCAGTAGCTAATCAGCATACCCTGGACAGTCCTCCTTCTGCTAGCTTGGGGGGAAGGCCTTGCGCACCCTCTACGTTAGCCTGTGAGTACTCAAAACGTTTCTCTGTCGCGTTACAGAGGGCATACATACATGTACAGTGTGAACATACAGGTTCCCCCACAATCACAGTCTGGACCGTGTTTCGTTTGTAGCAAACTGCATGCTCAGCTGCTGCATGTTACTACTGGGGTGATATACTGCTCTTTACATGCAGTAAATGTATAGTTCTGGTAAGAACACATGTGATGAGAAGAAACTTTACGATAGCATGTCTCGTGAAATCCGAAAATCACGGTACCAGTCATGACGGTGTTTTACAACAACACTGCAAAGGTCCATAGGCACATGACTCAAGGTTTCAATGTCCTCTGCATTTTCCTGACTTCGTGATGGATTATGATCAGCCCTGGTAACGTTCTTCTGTCTGAATATAGCTACGAGGTGAAACATTTCACAGCCTCAGTCTATCTCACTGCTGCCATAAGGGCATATTTCTTATTTTCGATGAATTCAAAGAATTATTTGTCCACATGAGGTAATCTCTGCCTTATTGACATACAATAAGGGGTGAGAATTTCAACGGACATGCTAACACAATCAGTGAACCTGGTATGCTGTTCAATACACGCTTTGCGGGTTTTACCATGCATTACTGGTCCAATGTATGTTAACCCTGACCCTGAACTTCATTATCTCAGCAG